TTTGTTTCGTTTCACTACCTACGACTAATCACGTGACTAGTTTCAACTAATTACATAAAAAATAGTAAGGCTTCGATCACACTTAAAATTTGTTTAATAAGGGTAGGTGTTATTAAATTAATTTTTTAAGTAAGACTATATTAGTAATTACATTATATTATAATAATTTGTGCAAAAAACTAAAAAAAACCTATGATTTTTCAATACGTTGTTTAAAAAATTGCATTACTTCTAATTTTATGATACCTAGTTTGCAAAAAAATTAAAATTGTGCGATTTGTTTAAAGTATAGAATTTAAAACATTTTGTTTGTATCTTCGAAAGTAAATTTCTCATACCTAACGCTGATGAAGCAGTACATCTGGTTTGTCAGTGATCGGTAAAATAATGATACCAATATTTTGTTTATTTATGATGCCGCAAATTTGAATAAAAGTTAAAATATTTTTAATCGACCCTTTTTAAGAATAATACAATAATAAAAAATAAAAAAATTTTTTTTTTTTAAACATGCAATATATTACCGTTAGAGTTAACGTAGGTACGCGTACACATCCATGTACATGGGAAAATAAAGAAAGAAAAAAATATGAGAAAGAAAAACTCTATTCAATTAACTCCCACCATAGTTCACATTCCATTGGCGATTGGTGTATAATAATATATACGGGTGTATATTTATACTTACAATTTTCCACTTCCCTATTCATTTCTCATTACATAGGTATGTGCAACAAATCAACAAGAGCAACACAAAGTGCGTAACCTCGATCAGTGTACTTATCACTTTTATTTTTCTTCCTTACTTTGTCGACATCGTTCATTCTAAAAGCACAAATATCATTCGAGTTACATATTTCTCAACTCACCAACAGCATATTTAACGAGCACAAGATTTCCGTTTCATTGTGTTGTGCTCAGAGAAGGGGTGTCTACTGTAGTAAACTACTGACTCGTGAGGTTTAGTCAGCGTAGCTGACATATTTTACTGCTGGGTGATTTTCTCCTGTCAGATGTATCACTCTTCGAGGAGAAGGAGACAATACCATATTAACACACTAACTGGGGCATTTAACTGATGAAGATTTTTAGTTGATAATTTATTAGTTTGGCAAGATGGCAAGGTTCAAAAGTGTAGTTTTGATGCTGTTGCTGGTGCTGATTGGAGGATCGAATTGCCTACACAGGACAGTGAGTATATGTTTTTCATGTTATTGATACACGTTATTATCAATGAGTGGCCTTGCGAGCGTGGCCTTTATCTTTTCCTTCTTTTCTCTTTGTTTTCCTTTGTTATTTAGAAACGAACGGGTCACTAGCGTCACCATTACTTTGACAGGTCACTATGATAATACGTTCGAATATTGTGAACAATGGGAAATTTTGTGCATTAATAAATATAATAAGAAAAAACGAGAGAATTCAATATATGACTGACACATAAAATCTATAAAGTTTTTTTTTACTGCCAAGACAAATATTATATACGAATGAATTTTAATAATTTATCTCGAAATAATGATCGTATAACGCAATTTTTTTTTTTCTGCAAGATCTGCGATAACAATAACATCAACATGACATTATAACTTGCTATTCATTCTCATTTTAGATAATGTAGGTTAAAAGTTAAAATATATATGTATATCGAAGTATGTTTCTATAGTTATGCGTTCAAGATTGTAGGGTGCGATGCTAGCGCTATCTAAATTTTCTAAGACGAAGATCTTGAACTATTTCCGATGCCAACGTTATGGTGTAGGGGCGGCCAATAATGGATGACAGTAAAAAAATTTTTTTTTTTTAAACATGCAATATATTACCGTTAGAGTTAACGTAGGTACGCGTACACATCCATGTACATGGGAAAATAAAGAAAGAAAAAAATATGAGAAAGAAAAACTCTATTCAATTAACTCCCACCATAGTTCACANTATTTATTTTTAATTTTAATTAAGTGATACAATGCAAATTAGTTGTACTAGACTTTCATTAGTACTTAATTTTAAATGAAATTTAAAAAAATAATTTTCTGTAGCTGTTTAACATTATAGTTTACTGCAAAAATACCAATCAATAATTAATTGCAAAAATAAGTATTTCGTCGGGGAGTTGCCAGTACCTCATTGTCAAATCGGCGTATTCTTATCTGCTAGTATCCGAGTTTATCACGGTCCGAATCTTGTTGTGTATAAAAATTTAGGAAATTTTTTTCTGTACTTGGGATTGTTGGGTAAGAAAATTATCTATAATGTAATTAATTTTAGAGCTAATATTTTGAATAAACTCTCGTCCTGCTAGATGCTAGAGCATTTTTTTGATAGATTTTGATAGTACCAATTTTTAGTTTTAGACAATATATTCTGTATTATCAGTTTATGTGGGGCTTCATGTTTTGAGAGAAGCGCTTGTAAAATAAGCATGGTGATAAAATTTTGGCACTTTTACTTCTTTGAGTATTTTTAATTTTTTTAAATTTTTTATGGTATAGTATCGAGCAAACTAAAAACTTTTATTATTGCTTAACTTAAATGTTGTTGTAAAGCTATTTATAGTTTAAATATTTGAGTTTTTAACAAATTCATTGGCATATCGATATTTAGGTAAAAGAAAGATAAGAGCTGTCTAGATTTTCGGTTAAATAAGCAGTTATTTCAAATATTTTCATTCTAATAGCAACGTTGCTGTATCATTTATAAGAGCTGAGAGTTGTTTCAGATATTACAATTAAATTTTATAATTAAAAGAATAAGGAGTGATAGTACTTAAGAAATATTTTTTTTTTTAATTTGAAATTTCTGCAGATAATACTTAGCACAAAACTAAGCTAGCTTTGATGCCAAGGCATCAATGTAGGAAAACTTAGACTTATCATCTAAATGTAACTGTTAAGTTAGAAAAACTGACAGGTCGAGACGACCTTAAAACAGTATCTTAGGTATAGTATACAATATAGAATTAATTACTAAGATATTCAAAAAGTTAAAAATGACCTGTCTATGACTACGTGAAAAAATGATTAATTTATCGTCACTTTAGAAATTAAAAAAAATATCTTTCAATATATTTCATGCTCATCATTACAATCTTCACGAGCACATATTTTTACGACTTTAACTAGTCATGAATACCTTTGCATTCACGATGCATTATAAAAGGGTCAATAAATGTATACACATATTTATATTACTTACAGCTTGATTATACCTTTAACGAAGGCTGTAAAGATCTTTGTAAAAATTCAAAAGTAAAACTTGGGCATGTCAGAGCAACAGGATCGAATGACACATTGCACTACATCTGGGATTTCACAAGAAATCCAACTATATTTATCGCTGTCACATCGACAACTGCAAAATTGGTTGTTGATTGGAATAAATACGTATCTAGATTACCACACGCAGTGAAATTTACTGAGAAGCCCATGTACACATTTGGGATTGTCATTGAAAGGGTAATTGTTCGATTTCTCATGTAATGTTATCTGTAAAAATCATGATTAATTTTAATACTTGTTACTTAATAAAAATATTATTATTTCAGTTACTCGAATTTAACGATATTCATGATGATGGCAGAATGGACGAAATACTCGATTCAAATGTAGTTGAAGTGAACTTCCAGAATTTCCAATGGCATCACAAAAATTTGACTCACCATGACAGTTTTGTTGAGTTTTATATCCAAGCTAGTGATTACAAAGATCTAAATACAAATGAAACGAGAAATGGAACTATTGAATTCTTGGTAAGTCAACCTTGAGCATATCCTTGATTGACACAAGTACACATGAAAATGTGATAATCTTGCATTTTCAATTCCAACACATGCACAGTTGCAAGGGTTCAGCACCTTAAATCATTCCTCCGTTACACCTAAAATGTTGCATTCTGAAAATGCCACACAAATGGATGTAACCATTGATCATTTGGATACAAAAGCAAACTTTACTAGTAGTAGATTTGCGTTTGAATTATTATTCGTAAGTGAGAACGATTTAAACTGCACGTTACTTGCCAATGGAAAGTGGAAATTAGATGATGAATTCACACCCGGTATATTTGAGGTATTATACGAAATTAACTAGTTTATTGACCTGTAGTATGATAATAAATTAAAAAAAAAAAATTTATTTTCCAAAGATCGTTGAGTTGATTACATCAGGAGCTCACGACAAATCCGGATACTTGCAATGGAGGCCAGTTTCCTACAAAAATTCTAACCGGGAAACTGTCAAGTCAACCAGCACTGTCTCTTACCCTGTTAAAAATGCTAGTGTTAATGAGTTCTTTAATCGTGACAATTTCTTGTACTTATACTATGGAGAGGACAAAATGTTGGATAACCTTGTCCAAAGAGTAAATATTTCGATCGGAGAAAAAGGAGATGGCTTTTACAAGGCATCTAATTATGCCACAATGTAAGCCATATTGCAATAGTCATGAATTTATGATACTATTAGAAATAATCAATAAAATGTTAATTTTAATTTTTTTTTTCCCCAAGGACTTTTGTTGCTGGATATGGAGCCCCACCAGATGAAAGATTCTCATTTGTTGTGATGCTCATCATTGCCATTGGCATTGGTATACCTGTATTGGTTTTTTTAACTACAGGAGTTTATAAGATTATGCGCTCACGAAGACGACGTGATAATGAACTGATCATAGAATAAAAAAAGGTCGAAAGTTGCCATTTTATTTCTGTTAATTAACTTTAACTATTATCATTGAAACGTTAGTTTGATAAAATAAACTGATTGTTCTCTGTTGCATCGAAAATCTAAGAAATTTAGTGTATAAGATTGAGTTATTTTTAAATTTTTACATAACAATTATACTACAAATGGTTAATATTTATTTGAGAAATTTCTGTGGATATGTTGTATTGTTTTGATTTTTGATTGATACGATAGAATAGTTTCAAATATTATTTTGTAGGCTATAACACTCAAGCAATTACCGACAGTGTCCTTTGCTATAAATATACTAGTATGTTTTGAAAGTTGCATGTTAATCTAGTATAAAACGAGTTAAATTTTATATATTTTTTTAATAGCACACTGAAAAATATAAGCACTGCATTTATAGTTAAGCAAGTGCTTGTGTGGTGATAAATTTTTATTGAAGAACTCGTTCCTATGTGTATAAAATAATGATTGTTATACATTTTTTTACTAAAACAAATTTGTGTGAAATTGGATTTCCACAAATATATCTTGTACAATTAATCAAATTTTAATTTTTACGAGTATCAATTAAAGTGACGACTAGAATGTAATTTTGAAATTTCACTATGAATCCTTTTTATTTCAAAACCAATCGAAATTATTTTATAAAATGACTCAACCTTTAAGAATAATGTTTAATCAATAGAAGATATAGTTAAAACTTTCATTAGTACTTAATTTTAAATGAAATTTAAAAAAATAATTTTCTGTAGCTGTTTAACATTATAGTTTACTGCAAAAATACCAATCAATAATTAATTGCAAAAATAAGTATTTCGTCGGGGAGTTGCCAGTACCTCATTGTCAAATCGGCGTATTCTTATCTGCTAGTATCCGAGTTTATCACGGTCCGAATCTTGTTGTGTATAAAAATTTAGGAAATTTTTTTCTGTACTTGGGATTGTTGGGTAAGAAAATTATCTATAATGTAATTAATTTTAGAGCTAATATTTTGAATAAACTCTCGTCCTGCTAGATGCTAGAGCATTTTTTTGATAGATTTTGATAGTACCAATTTTTAGTTTTAGACAATATATTCTGTATTATCAGTTTATGTGGGGCTTCATGTTTTGAGAGAAGCGCTTGTAAAATAAGCATGGTGATAAAATTTTGGCACTTTTACTTCTTTGAGTATTTTTAATTTTTTTAAATTTTTTATGGTATAGTATCGAGCAAACTAAAAACTTTTATTATTGCTTAACTTAAATGTTGTTGTAAAGCTATTTATAGTTTAAATATTTGAGTTTTTAACAAATTCATTGGCATATCGATATTTAGGTAAAAGAAAGATAAGAGCTGTCTAGATTTTCGGTTAAATAAGCAGTTATTTCAAATATTTTCATTCTAATAGCAACGTTGCTGTATCATTTATAAGAGCTGAGAGTTGTTTCAGATATTACAATTAAATTTTATAATTAAAAGAATAAGGAGTGATAGTACTTAAGAAATATTTTTTTTTTTAATTTGAAATTTCTGCAGATAATACTTAGCACAAAACTAAGCTAGCTTTGATGCCAAGGCATCAATGTAGGAAAACTTAGACTTATCATCTAAATGTAACTGTTAAGTTAGAAAAACTGACAGGTCGAGACGACCTTAAAACAGTATCTTAGGTATAGTATACAATATAGAATTAATTACTAAGATATTCAAAAAGTTAAAAATGACCTGTCTATGACTACGTGAAAAAATGATTAATTTATCGTCACTTTAGAAATTAAAAAAAATATCTTTCAATATATTTCATGCTCATCATTACAATCTTCACGAGCACATATTTTTACGACTTTAACTAGTCATGAATACCTTTGCATTCACGATGCATTATAAAAGGGTCAATAAATGTATACACATATTTATATTACTTACAGCTTGATTATACCTTTAACGAAGGCTGTAAAGATCTTTGTAAAAATTCAAAAGTAAAACTTGGGCATGTCAGAGCAACAGGATCGAATGACACATTGCACTACATCTGGGATTTCACAAGAAATCCAACTATATTTATCGCTGTCACATCGACAACTGCAAAATTGGTTGTTGATTGGAATAAATACGTATCTAGATTACCACACGCAGTGAAATTTACTGAGAAGCCCATGTACACATTTGGGATTGTCATTGAAAGGGTAATTGTTCGATTTCTCATGTAATGTTATCTGTAAAAATCATGATTAATTTTAATACTTGTTACTTAATAAAAATATTATTATTTCAGTTACTCGAATTTAACGATATTCATGATGATGGCAGAATGGACGAAATACTCGATTCAAATGTAGTTGAAGTGAACTTCCAGAATTTCCAATGGCATCACAAAAATTTGACTCACCATGACAGTTTTGTTGAGTTTTATATCCAAGCTAGTGATTACAAAGATCTAAATACAAATGAAACGAGAAATGGAACTATTGAATTCTTGGTAAGTCAACCTTGAGCATATCCTTGATTGACACAAGTACACATGAAAATGTGATAATCTTGCATTTTCAATTCCAACACATGCACAGTTGCAAGGGTTCAGCACCTTAAATCATTCCTCCGTTACACCTAAAATGTTGCATTCTGAAAATGCCACACAAATGGATGTAACCATTGATCATTTGGATACAAAAGCAAACTTTACTAGTAGTAGATTTGCGTTTGAATTATTATTCGTAAGTGAGAACGATTTAAACTGCACGTTACTTGCCAATGGAAAGTGGAAATTAGATGATGNTGTTTTTAAATTTTTTTTTTAATTTTTTTCTTTTTTTTTCCTCAACTCATCCATCGCTCGATTTCGCACTGAAAATTTGAGTTTTTCTTAAGCTTGTTTGAGAGACAGCATGTTTTTCACAAAAAAGATCTTCGATTCTTCGGAAGAGCGCGCGACGAAAATTGTTGCCCGGCCGTCCCTCGCTCCGATTTTATCGCACACGAGTGATTCAATGATCAATCGTAGGGTCATATCGTCCGACTTGGAAATTCCGCGATCGAAGGGCTCGAGTATGGTTATACGTTGTTACATTATCGGGGAAGTACATACAAATCGAGATGGACGCTCGCGTCGACCGACGGAGTCTCCAAGCGAACTCAACCTCGTCAATTTAATGCGGACCATGGAAAGGGAGCACCTGTCGGCAGTGTCGAATTTACCGGGCGACCGTGTAAATTCGCTCGGTCGCGCGCGACCCCGTGTTATTGGGCTGTTGTTTGAATCGTACCAGTAAATGCATTGCGGTGTTTTTCAAGGAGACGTAGTAGAGAGGCTTGAAAAAGTGACGCATTCGAGAGGTGTGGATGAGACCGCTGGAAGGCGCTTTTTTAGGCCTCGGTAGGGTTCTCCCCCGTCGACGGGTCCCGGAGGCTGGCGAGCCGTGTCCCTTTCGTCCTTATTTTTACAAATTAATTTGGATCGCGAACGAGTCCATGCATAAATTTAATACAATCGAGATGATTTTTCAACACGTAAAAGCTGTGGTTAATATTTATTTGAGAAATTTCTGTGGATATGTTGTATTGTTTTGATTTTTGATTGATACGATAGAATAGTTTCAAATATTATTTTGTAGGCTATAACACTCAAGCAATTACCGACAGTGTCCTTTGCTATAAATATACTAGTATGTTTTGAAAGTTGCATGTTAATCTAGTATAAAACGAGTTAAATTTTATATATTTTTTTAATAGCACACTGAAAAATATAAGCACTGCATTTATAGTTAAGCAAGTGCTTGTGTGGTGATAAATTTTTATTGAAGAACTCGTTCCTATGTGTATAAAATAATGATTGTTATACATTTTTTTACTAAAACAAATTTGTGTGAAATTGGATTTCCACAAATATATCTTGTACAATTAATCAAATTTTAATTTTTACGAGTATCAATTAAAGTGACGACTAGAATGTAATTTTGAAATTTCACTATGAATCCTTTTTATTTCAAAACCAATCGAAATTATTTTATAAAATGACTCAACCTTTAAGAATAATGTTTAATCAATAGAAGATATAGTTAAAAATTATATTAAAATTTGATTCTTAGTTAAT